TTTCATATCGTGTATTTAAATTAATTTTACAATATTCACCTCCATTGTTCTTTCTAAACCTTGCCTAGATTTACCTGAAGTTATTCAGATCAGCAACCTGACTGAAGTTTGAGCTGATCTGTCCTCCCCTGGCAGAACAGAGGCAGAAGCTAGAAGTCACACCAACTAAGTTTATGTAAGCCTCCTGCTGTGCAGATACCGGGGGCCTGAAAAGATGTTTTTTGCAAGAGCAGACTGTTTGCCTGCTAAGAAAGCGTGAGTTAGGGAGTGCCAGCACTGGCACCCTCTGGCAGCCGTGGCCCCAGAGATGGCCAGGAGCCACCAGGCAGTTCCAACCATGGCAGGAAGGCAGAAGAGAAGACACCAGGAGTTATATATTCCCTGCAAGCAGCACAAAGTTGGCCAGCTGGCACACGTGTCCCACTGGTGGAGAAGCTAATACACACTTCTTCCTTCTTTTTTGTTGTTGTTTTGTTTTCATGAGGCCACGGAGACTCCACACACAAGCGAGCTGATGAAAACCAGAACTCACTGGTGCTAGAATTTGTCGTCGTCTGAAGGAAGTTCCCTCCTGGTACCACTTCTTCTGTTAGGGCTGAAATGCAGCCATATCCCGGGCTTAAGTGCATCTTGCCATTGCACTTGGCTCTTGCCCAGCCTGGGAGATGCGGTTATTACCCCAGTGACACTTCCTGTTTGAAAGCTGTTGTGAAATAATAATGAGTACAATTTGGAGATAAGCCACCTCTTCCACTGTGGCATTTCACGCTAAGAAAGGAAAGGATGCCGCATTCATCGCTTCCGCAAAAAGGGAGGTCTCGACTGTTTAATCCTTGCCATTTGAGTTGTTTTCTTAGTCCTCCCAAACTACTGTGTCACAGGCTCAAGACAATGCCTTCTTGTTCAGCCCTGATACCAGGCATCAAAAAAACCTGCTGCGGTCACGACGTGAAGCCCTTGGTAAGCGTGACAGCTACCAGTGTGCCTTGGCAGTCTAGCCTCAAAAGCCCACTCCAGGCTGGTCTCCTCAGGCTAATGACACTGTTCGTGGCACTGCACTGACAATCTTTTTCTACAGTGCACAGTTAGGAAAGCAAGTCACAGCAAACCCTGTGTGCTTCCAGCAGCTGGAGCTGATGGCTGAGGCGCCGGCTGGAGGTGCAGAGCTCCTGCTCTGACAGACAGCTTGATCCTGTGCCCCGGCAGGTTTGTTTGCTTACAGCATCCAGGAAGTACAGTCAATTCAGGAGCAATTCAAGCTTCAAGGGCTAGATAATACCTGAGCTATTCTCACTCCTCGTTCAACCCCATGGCAACCCAGCCTCACCCGGACTCAGCTTCACTCCACCCTGCTTTTACGCCCCATCCACGACCCACCGTGCTTGCCTGAGACACAGAGCACGAACACCCAGATGCGTGAGCATCCCAGGGGCCTGTGGTCTCTGGCAGGAGCTGGCGTGACAGCAAGAGAAGTCCCAGAGCAAGGAGGGGGCGTGCTCACAAAAAGCATCTGGAAACGCGCTGCAAGAGCGTACTTCAAATGGTGTAATCCTGAGAGGAACAGGACGCATAGGGCTGGTCTGAAAGTGTCAGGCAGGCACTTACCACTGGGCTGAAATAGCTTTTTCATCCCACAGAAACGTGCTGTTTCAACGCCCCCGCCCAGCTTCATCTCAGAGCAAACAGGAAAAAACGACTGGAAATAACCTCTGCTGCCGTGGGTGCCAGAGCACAGAAATCCCCTCAGAAGGAGATGCAGACTCTGAAGACACAAATTGCTCAAGATCTGCCTCGGTCCACCTGTGTCCCTGCTGCTCCGCATGCTGACGGCCTGGAGGAGCTCTCTGACCACAGATACCCCTCTCAGCCAAACCTCCAGAGGAAGGACCCCTGGCTGTACATCCCCCTGCAACAGGGCAGCCACCCATGCCACCGAGCAGATCTGGGCAAGAGAGCAAGATGGGACGGAAAATCCCCCCTCTGCCATGATTCAGGAGCAGCTTTCCACCACGTTGACGAAGCAGCCCTTCGTGGGGAACAGGGCTGCATGTCGCTGAGCCCCAAGACTTCTCCCACCTCTTCAGGCCAGGCCTGCAAGCGTGGTGCTGACAAAGGCCTCCAGCTGCTGCAGCCCGGAGATCCCAGCAGCCACATGTGTTTCACCAGCCGTAGAGCTGACACAGGGTGGGATGCTCTGGCTGCCTCAAACTTTGAGCCTTGGCAACAGCTTGTTGGTCTTGCCCCACCTTGCCCACAGCAGCATGGCAAGATTGCTACCAGGTGCCCGTGTCCCCACCGAGCAGACATCATTTCCAGTCACCATCAGTGCCTCATGCACGAGGACCGCTCACCAGCTGTGGCCAAAGGATCCTTCCCACATGCTGACAGCCACCTGTGGAGCATGGCTCATGCCACCACGGCCACCAGCCCCAACGATGAAGCTCCAAGCAGTTGGGACGTTTGTCCCAAGCACAGCACGTTCGGCATGACAGCTGCTTATCTGCACAGATGCTCTGTGGCACCAGTCCACAATCCTCCAGCAGACACAATCCTCTTCATCCCACAGGAAACAAACTCCAAACTGCCTCTTAAATCCAGGCTTGAAAACCAAAGGCCAAACTCTCCCGGTAACATCGGCAAGAACAGAAAGGATGAGGTGGGGAGGGAAAATGCTCTGAACTGCATCCAGGTCTTTTAGCCACCCAGTTTGACAACAGCAAATAAATTCTTGCTCCCCCAGTTTCATCAGCCTTCCTGGGAGGAGGAAGAAAAAATATCTGTTGTGTTCACTATGATCCTCACTGCTCTTCCCTTCAATCTGATGGCATTAGAAATGGCAAGAGTAATCCACTCAAGCACCAGCAGCACAAGAGGACCTCCTTCACACAGGTACGTTGTGCAAGAATTTTATCTATCAAGCCCTATTTTTTTTTGTGTATCAAGTTCAGAGGAGAGCAATGCACAACATTCTTGAAATTGTTTTTAACATCACCACTACCACAAAGGAATTTCTTACACTCTTTTCTACGGTGAACCAAGGCTAAAACTGAATGGGAGCATTTGCACAGGGATTCCTAGGTGGTTTAACCTCACCATCTCTCCCACCAAAAGCATACTCCCAAAACCAACGACTGTATAGCCAAATTCTCAGCATGTGCAAGCCAACAGGGCTAGGTCAGACCTACAGCTAGTGTTAAACTGGTAACATCTGCTAAAGCACATCAACTAAGGATGTGACTGATGAAAGTGCACTTGGAGTAGAAAGAGGTTCCTTTCTGCTAGCTAAACCAGAAAGGCCTGGATGATTATCAGCAGCCTACTACAACTGCTTCAAAAACCGTGTACACAACCAGCAGTTCCATTAGAAATATGGCATTTGATTTTCTCTCTCTGTTTTAATGGTCCTATGCACAGACAGAATTAAAGTGTGACTGAAGCTGCAGAAGCAGAAGTAATTGCAGTTACCTACTACACACCCAAATCACTTCAATAACACATAGATGTGCTCTGCCTGACAATATACTAACTGGCACCCTGTGGGAGCCATGTAATTGTTGTTTATGGCACGGAAACACTGCGTCTATGTGAGAAGTTAGCATCTTCTGCAAGTTTGTGTGAAGTTCAAGCTCATTACATCTCTATGTTTATGTTCCCATTGAGAAGCTTGGCTTCGGAGCACGGCAGAAGGGCTTACGATAACACCCTAGTAGTGCAGGAGTGTCCCTGTGCAAGTTTAATGTTGTAAAACTTTACACCTTTGGTGAATTCACCTCAATCCTACTCCTCCCCAGAAAGCACAATTGCTATTAACTCAGCCAAAGACGCTGATTTTTGCACTACATCTCATTTAATTCAAGAATTTGGCATGATTAACAGAGCCTGTCAGTGCAGCAAGGGTGCTGATTTGTTACACTGACACGGAGACAGAAGCAAAACCAACCACACAAGATGCAGGTGGGGGGTCCCAGCCCGGGGATGGGGGCTCTCTGGTGATGCTGGTGCTTCTGGGGAGCTACCAGCAGTGAGCGCCTTAGTGGGCTCCGAGTGTTTGCCCCTTAGGGGTATGCACAAAGAGAGAGAGAGAGAAATAATGAAAAAGGAAACATTAAAAAGAAGAGAGGGAAAAGGAGTGAGGGAGAAAAGAGGAGAGGGGAAAGAGGAGGGAAAAGGGGGAAGAGGGAAGAACAGGGGGAAAGAAGGGGGAAAAGGGGAAAGAAAAAAGTGAAAAGCAAAAGGGAAAAGAAAAAAGGAGAAGCTAAAAGAAAAAAAAGGAGAAGCTAAAAAAAAAAAACCAAGGAAAGCTGCAGAAAAAAAAAAGCTACAAAAATAAAAGCTAGATGAAAGGGAAAGGTAAAAAAGGAAGGAGAAAAGAGAAACGGAAAAAAAAAAAAAAAAAAAAAAAAAAAAAAAAAAGGAGATACGGGAGAAGAGGAGAAGAAGAAGAAGAAAAAAAAAGTGTTAAGAAAGAAAAAGGGAAAGTAAAGGCAGGCGAGGAGGTGCCCCCGGCTGGGCGCGCCGCCCGCCCGGCTCCCGCCCGGCTCCCGCACGCCGGCACCCGCCGCCCTTACCGCACCGCCGCCTCCCTCCATCTTCCATCGCCGGCCGCGGCGGATCGCAGCCGCCCTCCCGCGAGGCCGGGCCGTGCCGTGCCGTGCCGTGCCGGGCTGTGCCGGGCCGGGCCGTGCCGGGCCGGGCCGGGCCGTGGCGCCCTGCCGGCCCCGCAGCGCCGGCGGCGGAGCCGGGCAGCGCGGCCGCGGGCGGCCCCAGCCTGGTGGGCCCGGGCCGGGCCGGGCGAGGCGGGGCGGGGTGTGGGCGGGCCGGGCCGGGCCGGGCCGGGAAGGGGAAAGGGAAGAAGGGGAAGGGGGGGTTGGACGTGAAGGAAGGGGAAGAGGAACGGAGTGCACCACGTGCTCGTCAAAAAGAGATTGAATCCAAAAAAAAATAGAAATAATAACAAATGAGGAGAGGTTTCGGGACTGCCGAGGAGCAGGGCTGCCTACCCATGAGGACGGCGCTTGGGAGCGGTGGTCCCCAAAGCCCGCGAGGCGTCAGGACGTGCAGAGCTCTGCTACGCTCCTAAATCCCTTCAGTGCTTCTCGCAGTCGCTGGAAAAAAAAATAAAATAAATTTTAAAAAAATGCCCTTTTTCAGCCCAGGGGCTTCTCCCCGCAGCCTGGCTCCAGAAAGCGAAAGAGCACAGATGTCTGCAGAGCAGCCCTGTCTGCACCTCCGCAGCCGATCTGTGTTTCGCAGGTCGCTGGAAGTTCTCCCCGAGCTTCGGGTTTCCGAGCAGAGCACGCCGTCAGGTGCCGGGGTTTCTCTCAACCTGTCCCCTTCTGCGAGAGACGGTTTCCCCGTCAGAAGCTGCAGTCAGAAAACACCCCAGGGTGTCACGGCGCCCCTCGCAGCAGCTACGCCAAGTGGCTGGCAGGCTGGCGGGAGGAGGATGTTAGCTGCCTTCCCCACGTGCTGCCAGCTTGTGCTTTGCTCAGTAGCCCTCAAACGCGTTAATTTATTTGGCTGCAAGAAGAGAGGCTTTCTGCTGGGCACCCAGGTGTGATCGAGGTGATACCAGGCTGGAAACCCGATGGGAAGTCACTGCCATTTCAGAGCTGCAGTTTTGCCAGGGTTCCTCCGCAGCCAGTGGCACTTTGTCGCCCGAGGACAAGGCACGAGCTGCGGGCAGGACAGCAGCAAAGGGGCCATCCGCTCCTGGGGACACACAGCCAGGAGAAACCTCCCACACACAGCAAAGGGTGCAGCGTGATCCCACCACCCATCACAGCTTGCCTCCACGGCCTTGGTGCAGGCATCCCTCGGGGCGACATCCCCTGCAGGTGGGCCACGGTTGCATTTGGGCTGAGGATAGTTGGGCTGAGGATAGATGAAGTCCTTCTCTGTACCCGCAGTTTGGTGGCAAGGAACAGGTTTCTGCCAAAGGCCTTTTTGGCCAGCAAACTGACTTGTGCAGATTGCAATAGGGAGTCTCAGGATTCTCTGAACACTTTAATTCTGCTCCTGGCCTTGCACCCTAAAACAAAGCTGTCAGGTGGAAGGCAGCATTGTTCCAGTCGCTTTGCTGTGAGGAAAGGCTTTGGGCAGTCCTGACACTGCAGGTGCGCCACCACAAAGCCACTGAGACAAGGATAATGTGCCCGGCCCCCATGCTCAGGACAACACATCTCTGCGGCCGAGGGGAAAGCACAGTGCTGCCTCATTCCCCATTGCTCCCTGCCAACACCAGGGTGATCTCAGCCTTTCAGTTTCCCAGCACCAGAAACAACAAAGAGAGACAAATCCTGTCCTCGCAGCAGAAAAGTAGGTCCAGGCATAAAGCATGATGCGTCCTGGCCTGGAGCTTTCTCCATCTGGCTGCCCTGCTGGCAGTAAAGCAACGGCGGCAGCACCGGCCAGCCTGGAGCCTCCATCCAGCAGCATCACCCCGTGCTCCTCCCAACAGGGCCATGTCACACAGAGCTCACAGCACTCTTCCTAGCCCAAACACCTCCTCTCTCACTGCTTTCTGCTCCACATTCACCCAACCCAACCACTGCCATGCTTGCTTTCCACCCATGCCACCCCGCAGGAGAACAAGGCTCTGCCCATGCTTCCACCACCTGGTCCCTCAGGTCATGCTGAGCCCTGGCCCGTCCATCTCTGGATGCGCACCACGAAGCGTGGCAGCCCCAGCAGGGCAAGGAGGAGAGCTGAGGGGCTTCACCCTTCTCCCAGCCTCTTCTGAGGAGCCGGGCACTTGTCTGCCCCCATGCTGTTTTGTCCCATCTGCTTCGTGTGCCTCTGAGGCCCCAGGAGCCAGCGCAGGGGCACGGTCTGCGGATTCCCCATCTGTGCCACATCTGAGCTGGCTAACGCAGCGGAAAAAAAAACACCCAGTGTCTGGGTCTCCGAGGAGGTGATTTGCGCCGTCTGCCTCCTCCCAGGCAAGGCTGAGGTAATGTTGGTGCCGGCCAGGAGGCAGCTGGAAGAAAAGACACTTTTTTGGTGGGGGATGTAGGGGCTGGTACCACTCTACTGCATGCAACTGCTTGCCGCCCAGACCTGGGCGCATAGGTGGCAGCTGTGGCTGCTGCACTTCGATTTGCCTTTTTTTTCCTATTTGTGTTCAGTTGAGAAGAATTTGACATTTTCTCCCTGGGCCTGGCTTCTGGCCTGAGTCACCCAGACGTTTGGGCTGTCAGGAATACGCTCTGTGCCATAAGGCTGGGAGAGGAGAGTGTTTGCTGGCTTTGGGGAGGATGATCCACAAGCCTCCGCCACGCTGGCATCTAAGTGAGTTTGCTTCACTGCTAGGGAGGGTGATGGGATTTGGCACCACCCTCCCCGAGGTTTGCACAAGGGAAGGCGATATTTCTTGCACCATCAATCATCACTTCTTGCACCAGGGCCATATTAAATCCCAAAACATTACTATGAACAGGCACTCATCAGGGAAATGGGACGTTTATAGTGTTTTTATGAAGGAAAATATGTTTTTTTGTCCAAAAGCTTGATGTAAGTTTTCAGTTAGCTACATCAAAAAATGATTGCAGCAAAAGCTGGCACAAAAAAAAAAAAAAAAAGAAAAAAAAAAGCAGTTATGAGTGCTGTCATATCTACAGAGTGCTCTGAATTGCTTAAGGATTTAAGTTCAACCAAATGGCATGTATTTTAACACAGAGCAATCTAGGGGGAAAAACAAGAGGGAGAGAGGGAGAGAGGCAGAAATCCAGCAACCAACCTTTGTGGAGGTGGCAAACAGTCAACTCAGCATGAATTTGCAGCCTGGTTTAGTGGGTAAGCTGCTGCAAATCCCACAGCAAGGGGCACTGACACCACCCCCAGGTCCCCATGCCGCCAGCTACCAGTGGCAGCAGGAGCAGCGCGGGTGAGCTGGAGACATGCAAAATGTGAGGGCAGGCGACCCGGCTGCCAGACCAGGACACAGGAAGCTGGAGGTGAGGCCAGGAGCTGTGGGACACGATGGGTGGCAGCATGAGAAGCTGATGAAAGCACCAGGAGGGATGGCTGGATCGCACAGGGGGAGTCGTGCCAAACTGCACAAGGAGATGCTGGGTGGGACGGTGGGGCTGGCATTGCTGTGACAGTGCCTGTTCTGGGCCTGCTGGCACTGTCCTCCTCCCATGGCTGCCCAACACAAACATTGATCTTATGGGTCAAAAATTCACTGCCGAAAATACCTTCTCTCACAACCCTACCCCCTCAGAAATAAAAAGAAAAAAAAAAAAGGAGTATTTCACAATAATTGGTCTGTAAAGAATAACCAATGCACAACCTCTGTAATCTTTTGGCTATAAAGGTGCTCTCTTGCTCATTATTCCCCTCTCACGGGGAGATGAGAGGAGTACAGGAAACTCACTTCCAATTTATTCCTCCTCATTCAAAGGGGAAAAAACACATGTAAGCCATCATCCAGGTGCTCGCCAGAAAACAGCTCAGGACATTGCATTTCAAATCAAACAGAGATTGCCTCTTTCCGTGGGGGAAAGAGAAGGCTAGCAATAAAATAATAATAATAATACAAAAAATAATAATAAAAAAAGAAAACGCCACCAGAAACACCATTACCCACAGATGGAAATACTGAGTTAATCATTTATTGGATTTTCTCCTGTGTGTCTGGACTTCTCTGGAAACAGCTGCGAAAACATATTTTTTTTTTCTTGTTTTACTCAGAAGAACAGTCACAACCCTTTCTTTCTGACTTAAGCCTGGAAAAGTAGCTGTAATGGCACAAGGGGAACAGCAGAAACGGAGGTAAGGTCCACACTAGGAAAGAGCTGGGCATGTGAAACCTTTCTATTATTTTTAAGAAAAGACAGACAGTGGTAATAAATCATTACAGTAAAGTCCTGGGTGGCAGCCATGGCCGGTGCACACATGGCAGGTTAGCTGGTGTTGTTGTGGGGAGTGGTACTAAGATCTGTGCCAGCATCATTATGCTTCATCCAGTTCTTTCCTTGCAGATTCTCCAGCAGGGCTGGCTTTTCACTCAAAACGCCTGGAAATTTGTCTTTCAGGGGTTAACTGATTCTTGCCTTGCTTCTTCCCCCATTGACAATTCCCTAGAGTCTCACCATGCCCAGGACTCTGGGAAATGTGATTTTTCCAGATCCTCCATCTCTTCTCTCCAGAGATTTCACTTCCCTCCCTCCTCCATCTGACATGTTCCTTGGGAGGAAAGGAAATGACAGACATTCCCTGCCTGCACAGCCAGATAGTGATATTTGTCCTTTAACTGGCCAAAATTAGAGCTTTTGATGAGAAATCTCATCCATCCTCTTTGGAGATCTCCAATCTGACATTTCTCTCTGAAAAACCTCACAGCACAGGTACCTCCCCTGATGTGCCTGTCCCGGTCCTTCAGAAACGTCCTTGTTAGCCCCAGCAAAACTGGACGACGCAGAAAATCCTGATGAATGCCCTGCTTTGTAAGGTTCATAGTTACCTCCTGGGACTCTGCTGTTATTTCCTCTCTTAATCTTTTCCCTCCCTCACCTCAATCAAATCTCTTTCTGGCCTTCTCTTCAGCAAAAAGGGCTCCAGATCAGCCTGTCAGCACTGGGTCTGTCCCTCCTGAGCAGGCCACTGGTGACAGCTGAGAGCACCCTTCCATTTCCTGGGCCTGCTGGAGAGCTGGGCAGGGAGGAACCTTATTGAGGAATCTTATCAATGTGTATAAACATCTGAAGGGAGTGTGTTAAGAGGAGGGGGCCAGACTCTTTCCAGTGGTGCCCGGTGGTAGGATGAGAAGCAATGGGCACAAAATGAAGTACAGAAATTCTCATCTGAATATGGAGAAAAGCTTCTTTACTTCAAGGGTGACAGAGCACTGGTACGGGTTGCACAGAGAAGTTGTGAAGTCTCCTTCTCTGGAGAATATTCAAAACCCACCTGGACACGATCCTGTGCAAGGTGCTCTGGATGACCCTGCTTGGCAGGGGGGTTTCTGTGATTCCAGCACTGACAATGCATCGCACCAGCCCCACAAGTCAATCTGACACACACAGCTGGACTAACAACCAAGAGAAGAAAGAATGTTTTCCATGAACATCAACCTCATCTTAAAAAGAACTTTGACACTAAGGAAAGTCCAGAAGTGTTCAAAAGTGCACTCAATCCAGCACACACAGGAGGGGACCACACTGCATTTGAGCAGAACAGAAAAGCTCCAGGTGGTCTTTTCCCCTCCAGAACAACATATAGGATTCTGCAGAATGATATCCTTTATAGGAAGACCTTAGCCAGTCTCACATAAATCATTCTGGTCTTGACCTCCAAAAAGAGATGCCAAAAACTGAAACTGTATGGTATGTTATGATCAAGGGAAACTTACATTTCAAGCCAAGGTACTGTGGCTTTGTGTTTTTGGTTTCCTGAAACACCGGGATCCTCCTGTAAAATCCCCCTGTATGGTTTTCCCCAGCTCATGTGTGCCTTCTTTCTTCTGCCACAGATTTTTCAGACTCGACTGGGACTGCACATCAGATGCCAAGCCACCGAGAGTGGAGGGGAAGAGAGGGATGTGCTCAATGGCTTTTTATTTTATTTTTTTGGTAGGGTAAGTATCACCTTTTAACAGTACTAACAGTGTGTGGAAAAACAGAGTCTGAGGAGGATTGCTGCAGCTAAGGCTATGACTTCATTGGTATGCTACAAGCAGCTTTTAGAGTCAGGCAAGCATAAGACACCACCCCACAGTCCTCTGAAAATGGGATCATTATGTCCCACAGCTCTGGGACAGCGATGCAGCAGGCACTACCTGAAATGCTACAGCTGCAGAGTGAATTAATACCATTGAGAATGAAGCTATTAAAATCAACCAAATAAAGCAGCCTCACCATATTGGAAAGGTGACAAGAAGAGATGGGTTGGCCATCTATGTTTCATCTCACTGTCTTTACCACAAGCAGCAGGACTCTGCTTCTAATTGGACATGAGAAATTTGTCCTCATGCAGATATCGCCTCTCATTTTACTTCTTCAGTCCAACAAGCAGAATGGAGCTCTTTAGGCAAGTGAGATGTCAAACAGCCATGTTCAGCTTTCTCCTCTCCTTAGACAGAACAGCCATGGATGTGGGTAACAAACGGCTAGGAATGACCCTGTTCATCCACATCCCTCCTCGGATCTCTCCATACAGTGAACACACACGAGTCACAAACAATGGATGCAAGGTTACAAACAGACAATTAAGCAAATTTCACTTGGACAGAGCAAGCCCAGCAAGTGTGGACAAATTGATACTGATTTTGGTTGGAAGGGAAAGGTTTCTGCAGACGGTTCTCTTGACAGATTTTCTAAACAAAGAAAGACACAGATCCCACAGCAGAGAACAGAAGCCAAAGCCAAAGAAGACCTGAGCCGAAGGTATTATGTGTCCCATGGGAGAGTGACACCAGAGACAGGTCACGGTACCAGGTACAACACCATGACAACAGCCTCCAGTTTGCAGCTCACAGGGCTCTGCTGTCAGCTGGGGGGTATTGTATTTTCTCCTGTCCATAGCCCTTTTCCTGGAGGCAGTCTGCCAAACAAGGGGACTGCAGAGCCTGCTGGGTTAACATCGGCTTTATAGGGTCATATAAAGAGATTAAAAGCCCTAGGGGAACAAGAGCCAACAAGGCCATTCCTGGGAGGATATAGTGAGAAGCGAGGCATAGCTTTGCATCAGATGATGGGAGTGTATGCATAAATCACACACTGAAACTGTATGCAGAAAAGGAGCCACCAGAGGAAGACCTTGGCCTCTCTTCTCAGGCAAATCCCCTACAGTGTTTACTGGTCCTCTCCAAAGCAAGACCCAAGACCTCCTTTCAAACCCTTCTATGCTCTTTCTTCCCTTCCCAGGTGTCAAGCCCAGCATGTATCCCCTAAATTTCTACCCTCTCATGTACCTCACCATTTCCTCACAACACCAGCTCCTCACAACCCTGGCCTTCTACAGCACTCAAACTTGGACCCCAGCACAGGAGCTCTCAACTCCTCTGTACTCTTGTTTCATACCACTGCTGCCTCCTTAAGGAAGGGTCCCAGCCCTACTACCGTACATTTCCCATTTCCCACTCCCTATCTCTCATGCAATCACTTATCTGCTTAATATTGCTCTTTCCCTAGCTAGTTATTAATTTCCACCCTGCCCCTGGCCAGAGGTCAGCACTCCGTCAGTGAGATGGGAACACAGACTTGACATTCAACATCCCTTTCTGCATAAGCAGCAGGAAAGCTGTAGGAAGCTCCCACCCACCCCACTTTTAGTCCTGACCACCATCTGGAAGCTGTGCCAAATGCCAGATCTATCCAGGCCCACTCTGTGCAAACAAAATGCTCTCCCCAAGAAGCATTACTTTCCATTTCAGCTTTTCTTTCTACATTTCCCCCCCAAATGAATTGCTGCCATCACCTTTACTCCTACCCCATCCCCACCCTCCTGTAACTCAGCCTTTATTTTCCACCTGCAACTGGATGAAACAGCTCCTGCCTGTTCCTGGGCTAGCACTTAGGATTACTTTTCATGATTTCCATACATCTTCCTCCACACCCTAGGTGGCTGTACTGAAAGCCAGGCCAGCAGGCTATAAAGCATCTACCTCTTTTTGTCTCCTTACTTTTAGGAAATTCTCACCTGGACTGCAGAAGGCATGAAATGGACTACACAGTGCTCTAGCATACAGATCCAATCTCCTGTGAAGTGGGTTCTATCTCAACAACTGAGGGCGTCGGTGGACATTGTCTGTCATTTCCCGTTCCATTCCATATCACTCACCATCTCCATGTGGATCCAGATGAAACTGATGTGCTGCTCCTGACTCCTTTGAATCCAAAAATCCTTCTTTGCTCCATTTCTGAGAGTTTGATTTTTTCTCCTTTAACATCATACTGAGTCTTTACAGCTCCATAAACCCAACTTTACTACTCCATAACTATCCCAAGTTCAAATCCAATTCCAAATTCAGCCCAAGGGAAAAAGCCACTCACTCCCAAAAACGTGTTCCTATCCTTCAAAATTTTTTCCATTTATATTTCAAATTAGGATACTAGATTTTTGAGAGCTGGTGCAGAAGCAACATGCTGTTTCTTGGATTTCAGACGGACTTGACTCCTTGCCTGAAGAACACATTAGATTCCTGTTTTCTGAGAGAAATAGAAATGAAAAGTTATGCATGGTGATGAAATTATAAGTATCTGAGACAGTTGCAGGAGATACAAACTTGGGTTGAAAGTCTGTTGGAGTCAGGGAAAGCTATCGCTTACTGCATTGGCCTTTGGAGCCTCCTGTGGTTCAAAAAATGTTGGATTTCTACTGGCTATCTTAAAGTTAAATTTTTAGTCTGTTTCTGATCCTGCTAAGGACATTTAACCTTTACTGCTTAGGGCAGTAGTGACAAACAGTCAGCGCTGCTCAGGATCAGGCTGTTGTGCAAGTGTTTTCAAGCGCAAGACAAACAATTGTTAATTATAGTTTTTCATACTGGCAGACTTCTCTGAAGTCCAGGGCACACACTCATGAATTAATCCTCCTACTCCTGGTAAAAAGGCAAACCCTAGCATTCTCACTTCTCAGATGAAACAACTGAGGTAGAGAAGTTAAATGACATGAATGACATGATCAAACCACAGATGCAAGCAAGTGTTAGAGTCAATATGAAAGGCCTGCTCTCTGCATGGCAATAAACCAGATGTCTTTCAGCGTGGCGCCTCTCAGTCAGTCCCTACTAACTACATGCTTCAGTCCCACTGCAGGTAGTTACTTACCTGCATGAAGTTAACCAAGGCACATGAGTGCTTTATAAAACTGGAACCCAAATACCCCAGATCCATACTCACATTTTCAGACATTGGTCAAACACAATGCTGAGGCAAGAGCTCCAGCACATTTACCACAACCATAGCTCCACGAAATTGTCAGACAGCACAACTGTCTCAGGAGCCCACCTTGCTCAAGTGAGCCCTCAAGGGGCCTCCGTTTCCCTGTGTTGCCTGAGTCTGAGCTGTTGGAACTGGATGGAAAAAGAAGAGAACGATCTACTGCAGCACTCAGGTTTGTTTCTACTCCCTCCCTGCTTGAGTAAGCAATGCCTTTCAATCAGTGAGCCCAAATAAATAAACCCAACTCACAACTCGGATTTGAGTTTGAAGGGATTTGCTGAGCTGGATGAGAGCTCTTTATGTCTTTGAGTAGGTCAGTATTTGCTGATGAGCTAGCAGCCCCCTTGGAACCAATAAAAGACTGGTTTCCTATATGTAAAATAAAAAGGTTCACTTTTTCCGAAGAACTCCTCATGCAGCAGTTTTTTAGACACACCTATGAAATGCAGCCATATTTACACTGGAGGATAGCAACAGCCAAGAGAACAATAGAAAACCCTTCTCCTTCTCATAATGGGAAAGTGATTATTGCCAAAATAACTTGCTTAAATGATGGACTAGCTTAATTAATAGCTTTGATCTCAAACAAATGAAAGCAAATACAGCAGGCTTATGATAATCCAAAATATCCATATCATATGGTGGCATGGCAGCAATCCTTCTACCTGCAGGAAATGCAGGGAATCTGTTTTTGAAATGCAACATGAACATTTCAACAGGCAGTCTTTGTACAGAAGCTGTGGGCCTCAAGCTATACAGCAGAACTTGATACAGCCAGAGGATTTGCAGGTACCTCACCAAGGATGTCTTCTGCATATAAAATATTCAAAGACATTAAAAGAAGAATTGTGCTATGTGCAGTAGGGTCACCTGGCAAAAAGAGACACCCAAAGATCCTTTCTTTTTTACATTTGGAAAGCCATGTTTTAAATTAATAAAGGCTGGAAGTTTTCTGGGATCCAAGGGATATTTTACAAGAATAGGGAATACTTGGCATAGACTCCAAAAGTCCCCTTTGGCCAATGTGTGTTCATGGAGATCTGGTAGAGGACACTGGTGGAAGTGAACAGACTGACGTCTTCTGTCCTAACAGCCAGTGCAAGCATGAGTTTTCCTATATGTCAGACCCTGTAAAAGGTGTGGGTGATGGTAATATGGTAACATACATACCACACAACCTGTTGCTTATGACTAATGCATCTGTAGCCACCAAGATCTTCTCTAAAGTTGACAAGACAATCCACTGGTCAAAAACTCCCTGCATGGAGTGGAATCATTCCCAGGAGATGGGACCATGTAATTCAAATGATTTTGCTGTGACTGGCTGAACAAATATGGGGAAAACTCACAATCTTGGGATGGATTGGAGAATGAAAGCCACCCTGAAGAGCAACACAGTGGAATGCTTTCAAATACCAGAGCATATTGCAGTAAATAAGGTACACTAACAACCACCCAAAACTGTTCATACAGCTACAGTTTACCCTGTGGTACAGGAAAAAAATAATAATAATAAAAAAAAAAATAAAGAATGGTTTCTAACCATTGCTTCTTACCCAAAAAGGTCATAATTAGATGGGAATGACATTTTCAAGAGCTGTTGTTTTGCTATGAATCATATGAAAAGGAGACATTATTAGCTGTCCTGTAAGGCAGCACTTTGTACTGTGATTCTCCTGTTCTAGCTTTGCCATATCCTTCAACCCATTGCCTTAAATTCTCCTACTCCTACTCCCAAAAGAAGGCACTGTCACACGCAGGAACCAAACCCAGTCCTTCTGAAATCAGTCCTGTCTTTCAGCCACAAGGCTGGTTTCAGCTCCTGTGCCCACAGGCTGCTGCTGCAGCACTGAACATAGGACTGGAAAGTATTCAACCAGACCAGCCAGGGAGAGTTTCATATTCACTGTGTGTCCCTAGGGAGTGTGCTGGATTTGGTCCCTTGGTTTTTGAGGTGAAGACTTTCTCTTAAGTGCCAGACTTGACCAATTCACAGGCAGCTGCAGCCTGATTAAACAGTGCTCTTTTTATCCCAGTTTTCTAAGAAAACAGAGCTTACGGGGTTACGCTACCTGTTATCTGTTTGTTCATCTGCCCCACCTCCTGTAGTATCTTTTGAACCAGTTAGCTAATTTCAAACAGAAGTAGGACAGAGGTCTCGGGGAAAATTAGGTTAATGGAAATCAGCACTTGATCAATGCTTGTTCTGCAGAAAAGACACGGAGAAGCACATCCCTTTGGGCAGCAGTTAGCATTGGCTAGTGGTATGCACATTTAGGCAATATTCTTGCCTGCTATAGGTATTCACAAAGACACAAATGGGAGATGGGAAACGCCAATAGAATTGCATAAGGTTGGGCTATAAGAGTGAGTCCATGGGAATGAAGAGTTCACGTAATGTCACACTCGTTACTACTGTTGGTTGAAGCTCCTTGCGATTTGCATGCACCACTGTCACAGGGGATTATTGGTGATGCAACACCAGCAACACAGCAGGTCCCTTTGAAATGCTACTGGCTCTAACTAGAGGACTTCTGAGAAAAAGTGGCTACCTGGCTACCTTCCCTGGTTACCAAAGTGCAACTCATTAGTAAATACCCAGGGTGCTGCCCCAAAGTCTTGATGGTGCTTAGAGGGTGGGCCACAAGTAAATACATTACTCAGCACTTGGTCGAAGTGTCACCATTTTACAGAATGGCATATTTATTGTTATTGCCCCAACATTTGGAGTAATTTCTCAGAGCAGAGGACAGAGATCCGCCACTTCCCTGCTGGTTGCAGAGTTTCTTAGATTGTCTTTCCATTGCCTGCATGCCTCGTGGACTACTACTCTTGTGTCTACAGTCCAGTTTAAAAAAGGTAATCTAGCACATACTTGCTACGTAAATGCATGATCACCATTTCAACCATTCCTAGTAATTCCAGGCCTGGATATCCTACTTTGTCCTGGCAATCTTTTCAAATGTTTCACTATCTTAACAAGTGGAAAACGTCTGATCAAAATTTCCCTTCCTGTAATTTCAGCCTGTGGCTTTTATTTTATCCACCATGGACAAAGAGAACAGATTACGCCTTTCTGTCCTGAAGCACTCTTGTAATTACCTGAATAGGGATCTCATAACCATCAGTACTATCTTCTCTAAATTAAAACAACATTGTTTTTTGTTCAGCTTTTCCTGTACACCCTGCTGCCTGTGTTGATACAGACCTACCTGCTGGATAAAGCAAAAATGCAGAAGTCTACGTTCTCATTAGAGGTGAGCAGTGATTACTGGAGCTGCCTGTCACCAAGTATGAGGAAAATGTTCCATGCTTACAGACCACACATTCTGGGGACCCGGAGCTAGAAATACTTGGTTTCAAAGCCAAGTTCTGCTCTTGCCAGTCTGTCTGGTCCTAGGCAAATTGGATACCAGCGCACAACTCCTTCACTTGACAGACAGGTCTAGAAATAACAATTTGCTTAACTTAGCATATCATGACCAAGGTAATATAAAGTTGGAGACTGTGCAGATGTTGTAAAGTGTGGTGGAAGAGCTGATTTTTATGACAGACTTCCATGCTGATAGGTGTTCTCTCTTATAAGTTATTTTAAAAATTTTGTTCTGAAATACTACAGGTCTCTAAAAAAGATAGTTCTTCAAGACTGATTACATCAAACTGCTGGGATATCAGTAGCTTCCAAGTAAATACAGTGACGTGCAGGACTTCAGAATACCAGGATCCTATTGGTAAGTATTGATATTTGAAGCCCTTCACATGAATGACTAAACTAATTTGCCTATCATTGCTATGACTCATGGGTTTCCTAGTGGAAAGCCGATTCTGCTGGGAGGATTCTCTCTAAAACAGGTGTATTCCTGCACCCTAAGGTGCTTATAACATAAGGTGCTTATGAGTATCAGAATGCTTTCTAGTTCAGGCTGCTATTTTTAATTTTAATTTTATTTTTATTTTTTGTCACTGCAGCAGAAATCTACCTGGAATCACTTAAATGTTTACTGCCATTCAAAACTTTCCCTCCAGGTTGGAACTTCATATACAATCATTTTCCTTTAGTTGTATTGGTCAACAGACTATTTATCAATGGTTTTTATGCAATTTTATTGACTTCCTAACATTAAAAAAAAAATAAAAATGTAAGGAGGTAAAAAGAAGTACTTTTTTTTTTTTTTTTTTTTAAAGGAAATGGGCACTGATGTACATTACAGCGTCCAGGTGATCAAGTCCACCTGCAAATGTTTTTCACATTGCATGTCCATTCAGTTTGTACCCGCCTACCTGCAGTTTATTTGGGTGCTTTATTCATTTCTGCATGATATCAGGAGTGCTGAGGTATCTCACAGCTCTTGATGCCTAACACCACTTTAGAGATTGCTTTGAGAAGCCTGGTGGCAGAACTTGTCTGTTCTGCTCCCAGTTTCCATCTTCTTAGCCTATCAGTTTATTTAGCCAAGTTATATCCTGCTCAGCATATTCAACCTGTGCTCACCATAGCTCTCTCTGTCAGATGAGGTAGTCCAGCCTTCAGCTGTGCTTTCATTACACCAAGATACAGGTGGAAAGGAGAGATGTGATGAACAGACCGTGTTGGCCAGGTGCAGAGGTAGATGACGAGTTCTGCAACAGCTGCAAATTTCCCTGGTGTGATTAACAGACCTGCAGCTCATTACCATAAACAGCAAGAGCACCTCTTGAATTTTGGCAAAAAAAAAAAAAAAAAAAAAAAAAAAATCAGGTGAACTTCTCATTGAGTGGTACCAAGAAAAGCAGTTTTCTGGGGTGTCAGGGAAGAACAACTAAGGCAGGAAGAGAAGCCTGTTATCAGTACTCATTTCAATCTAACTACAGGGAAAGGAAGCTACAAAAGAGGTTATTTACTGCAGACTGGAAGAGGGAGACAACTTTTCTGGGCATGTGGGACAAGACTGTGTTTCTACAGGAAAGAGATCTTTATCTATGCAAGGCATCAAAAAATAGAAGAGAGAGGTGAATTATTGGAGTTGATAATTTAGCCTTGCTCAGAAATCTAACCCATCATTTTGGGCTTTTTTGTTCAAAGCTTTCTAGGCCTCATTCCCAAACTCAGGAGATGAATTAAGGCAGAGGAGCTTGCTCACAATAAAATGACTGGCTGCCTAACTAACCCCAAGGTGGCCATACACAGGCATCATAGAGTTCCTTTCATTAACTGGGACTTGTGCTGCAGGCTACGTGGGACAATGCCATTTAAGTAATATTACTGGTATTAGAGAGAGACTGAGATGAAGAACAAAATACCTAGAAACCGCATGTTTGCTGTGTGCTGCCACAGACGGCTCTCCACCCAGGTTATGCAGGCCCACAGTAAATGAGCCACCCTCTGATGCTGCACGGATCTCTGCTGGGGCCAGGCTGTGCTGGGCAACGTGAGGAGAAGTGGCCAGCTGGTCAGCCAAGTCACCCCAGCAGCACAGACAGCAGCAAGACTGAGGGGATGTACTCGTCTGAGAGCAGTCTGCTTGCATTCATCTTCGATCCTTGTTGGGAGAGGGTGAAGGAAATCACCCAAGCAAGGAAAACAGGCCATATTCGCCTCCCCCGCCCTCTTAGGCCTGCCTAGGACCATGCCAGTTCTCCTCACCTGATCCAGGTATGGGATTGCAAGAATACCTGAAAGCTGCTTTCTACAGCAAACCTTTCTGTGTTGGAATCTATCTTCCCTTATCAAATCTGACAGAATGGGTACTTTTGCTTGTCTCCTCCATCACAGAAGGCCTCACGTCAGGACTCAGGTTAGGAGGCACAATGTTGTTTCACCCTCAGCTGAAAGAACCCTGGTTTTCTTTGGGTTAAACATGTACAGCCTGCTTTCCTTAGCAGGCAAACATGACTTTAGATCACACGTGCAACCTGTGCTTGGCCAAATCCTAGAGAAAAAACTCATTTTACACCTCCAGAAATAAGCTTATTGTATGCAGCAAATAACAGACGGCAATAGAGAAATGTAGCTTAGGAAAGAAAAACTGGGTATTTCATTTGCATCTTTTGTAGGCTTTAATTTTTCAGGGGAAAATGTTAATTGAGCTAATACCTGTGAAGTAAGAAGTCAACCCAGCTGGGTATTCCCCATGTAAACCTTCATCTGCATACTCATGTCAACTCCTTTCCGGCACAGACCTTACAGTTCTCAGCTGCATTGTGCTTGAAATACCCGCAGTGGCAGAAGCCACCGTATGTCACCCCATCTGTGAAAATGTGCAAGCAGAGCATTATTTTTTGCCTAATCAACTGGAAAGGGATTAACTAAAAGGAGTATTTAATTCTCAGATTTTAAAAATATCACTCATAAAATGCAAGGAGATATTCTGAGGTGAACAACTGTAATTACAGTGGTCAGGAAATAAGCACAACACATTAATAAAGTCCTTGAA